TCCAGTCAATTTTACTCTGGCGACTGATATTTGCTTCCCCCCTTTTCAATGTTTTTTGCTTCTCTGCTTGGCGGGGGAGTGGCGATAGGGCGAGAACTCGGGCTGTTTCTAACAAAGCTTATCGTTACGCACAGTTCCGGGTCGTGGGTCTATTTGTTTGAAATAGGGAGACGATGGGCCCGGCCACGCTACTCTTCAGCACTCTCTAATGCCCTAATTACCTTAACAAAGGAAGGTAAGCAGTTGTCTATTTGACCTTTCGGCTTGTAGATCTTATTTAGTTCATGCGACCGTTAGCTCAGTCCATAAGGATTCATTGTTGCGTGCTTGCACGCTGAATGCTATACGCAAATAACTGTGTGTGTTCGGATTGTTTAAGGGATGCAGCAACGCGCACCCTAACTGTCCCTCCACTCTCACGTCGGTTACTCCGAGGGGAGCGGACATGGTCACGCGGTACTCTTTTTTTTAAAAAAACACCGTATGGACCTGTATTAAGTTTTCATTGGGTTTGGAGTCAAGGGTATCCCAGTGATTCCTTATGTGCGACGATACAATGGCTGTCCCTTTGCCCCCCATGGTGGGACCGTGAAAGGGCAAAGGCACAAAAAGAAGGGTGTTCTTAGAGCAAATACCATTGTTTTTCAGAGCCGTGTATCGAGTCAGAGGTATGCCTGCCTTGTGAGACCTTAGTTGATGAGTTACAGATACAATCGAAGTTGAGCAAACCCTGCCTTGCAGGGACTTCAGCATTGAAAAATCCTGCCCATAATCACTGCACATTATCAGCTCTTCCCTGTGCCAACGCTTGAGTACTAGCTAGTGCTAAAATGAAACATATTCTTCGATCGCAAGCGTAGCTTCATCATTTGAAGCCCGATAGTTTAGGCTTAGCCGCTGTTTCCGTTACTAGTTAAGCCGTATTGGCATCCCCCTCTGTGATGAACCACCGAGTGCGTAAATAACGGTGTCAATAATATTTGAGACTTTATTCTTGAAAGCCAAATCATTGCAAATGGGGCAGATACGGCCGCCCCAAGGCGCTCATCCCACTGGGGACTATAGCTCACCTCTCCTCATGAATCTTTCAAATTAAGGCAGACTGTATGCTCTTCCTCAAATAAAATATCTTGTCATCCTGCTTGTTACAGTTGTGAATAATAAAAAGCAAGAAATGGGAAAGGCAGACCACGGCATCTCTCACAAGGATTCATTGGGCTCTGCTGCGTTTCAACCCCTGAACCACGCAGCGGCTTCCCTGCCGTCGGCTGCGGTATTTACCGGTACCAGCAAAACCGATAAGTGTTTGTTTTCCGGGTTCTCAAATACATTTTATCATCCTCCACTTGCGTCCTTTATATCTTACTACCCCAACTCTTCCTGTCCATCTCTTCTTTATGTTTCTGGACTCCGGACACGCCATATCCTGCAGCCCCTGCGCGCATTATTTCTGTAATTGCCCGCGTTTGCTTTCTCGCATATAGTTAAACTTAAGCACCTGAACAGTTTTTGCGCAGTAGCCGAGCCCCATTGCTCTTTCTTTCTTGAGAGAAATAGCAATAGGCGCATCTCCTCGCAGCAGCGAACTGAAGCCCTTTCGTACTCCACAGGCTCTCTCCAGCCTCAGGAAAGCCTGTCTGCCTGAAGAACGTCTCATCCCAGTACGGAAACCGAAGCCTGTGACAAGCGCCGCAATATCCGATTCGCCCCCTTTTACCCTGTGTGCCATTTAGGCTAGCGCAACTGCAACATTCCCTGCAGGCCGAGTATCCCCCGGTTCCCCCCTGAAGGGGAGCCAGGGTTCCCAGAGGACGGTGGGGGCATCTCCGTCCAGGCGTCTCGCAGGGCAATGTGTCCAATCAGGGCTCCACACACCAAAAGTGTTGCAGTGAGGCAGAAGTAGCCACATACCCTTCTCGATCGATAATGCACAACACCAGAAGCATCACGGGAAGCTCTTGATTTCCTGATAACATTTTACTCATAGTTAAGGGCTGTTGGAGCTCTCAGGAGGGCGGTTGGGTGCGTTCGCGGGGAAGGGGGTTTGCTGATGGCCACATTTTAGGAGGCTGTGTAGGGCTGGGAGTGATTTATCTGCACATCGGCATGAGATATGGCATTGATGGAGTTTTGCATCGTATTTTATTCCAGCAGGATTGGCTTTTCTTCGACAACAGCCGAAATGACGTACCGCGGGGGGAGGAGAGAGAAGGCGGAGCCTTTCGATCATCTCGTGAAGCTTTTGGTCCTTGGCGACAGCTGTGTGTTTGATTCCTCTTAACGTGAAGCGTCAAACTGCTTACGAACAAATAGGGCTGGATCGGGGCTACAACAAGGCTAACTGAAATCTTCGATCTTCATTACTTCACTAATTCTGTTTTGTCCCTGTCATTCAGCCGTGGGAAAGTCTAGTCTTCTACTGCGATTCGCCGAGAACAAATTCGACCCGAACTTTGTGTTGACAATCGGGTACGCCAAACTAAGGTGCCACTTTGTTCAGGCAGGTTCAAGCGTTCCTCTGCCTTATTCAATTTAGCATATAACGCCTTCATGACGTATTCGCAGAATCTTAGAAACTTGAGCGAAGAACTGTGCACTTTTGAAATTGGCCTCAGCGTAGACTTCAAGACAAAGGTTGTGGAATGCGGAGGACGGCGCATCAAGCTACAGGTCTGGGACACAGCAGGCCAGGAAAGGTTCCGAACGATCACCCCTGGTACGACCTCAGCTAGTTAATATGTACTTTAGATCACCAAAGTAGAACACGAGAGGCAATGCGGCAAACGGATACTGAGGTGATTAAAGGTACCGAGGCATGAAATGTTTTGGCGCCAATACGGATCGCCTGTGCTGATGCCTCAGTCGATTTCAGCAGACGAATAGCTGCGTATGTCCGGACAACATGCAGATACAACGCAACCTAAGGAATGTGAAAAGCATTGACAGACGCTTGAGTAATGCTATTGCTAATTGTGATTGTGCTTACGCGTACTGCTATTCAGCATATTTCAGGAGTGCCATGGGAGTCATGTTGGTCTATGATATCACCAATATGCAAACATTTCACAGTGTGTGAACCACCTTATTCCCGCAACTAGCCAGGAAAGATAATGACCAGCAGTACCATCATCTCCGCCCGCAGCGTCGCTTTTCTGCTGCACCGGAGCTGTGCATAAAATGTCTTGTACATGGCCCCAAACCGTCTGGGCAAACGAACTAGTCTGCCTTCGTTTCCCTTTACCGTGCTCTCCTGCTCTCAGATATTCGGCGATGGATGCAAAATGTCGAGGAGTTTGCAGACCCCAGCATCGTCCGTGTGCTGGTTGCCAATAAGCTTGACCTGCAGCAACAACGGGTAAGAAGTAAACGATGCAATCAGCACCTGTACCAGAGGAAGTGGCCAACAGAAGGCAATCGATCAAATACCGCAAACAAAAGGCGAGCAGCAGGTCAAATACGGAAAGTGGACAAGATTTGGACAGGAAGCTGCGCATCCCTACATGGTGAAAGCGTCTCTGTGACTCCCTGCCTGTGCAGCAAGTGTCTCGCTCAAAGGGGGAAGATCTGGCTCGGGAGTATGCCATTCCTTTTATAGAAACATCGGCCAAGAGCAACATCAACGTCGAGGAGGCTTTTATGTAAGAGTGCTGCTCTATTGTAGGGTGCTCCATTTTTCATGGTGTCTGTTCCTCGCACTCTTTTCATCCTTCTCGCTGTCTCTCTGTGCATGGCCCCTCTGTTTCATCTATGCCTAATGCAAGAACTGTCTTATTTGGTTCAAATGAAATAGTAAAGCTATATTTCTCTGTTTCACTCATGAATCTGTGTGTTTTTGTATGCAGGTGTGCGGCAAACAGGATTAGAGACCTGCGGTAGGTTCCCTGCTAGCTTTTATGCACCTATGCTGCTGGTGCGTGGAGCGCTTTTGTTGTACATCCTCTGAAGAATGCAGCCCTTCTAGGCGAGCACACTGGGGATGTGTGCCTCCTGCATGCAAAATATTCTTCGGCATTTTGCGCTTTTCCTCCCCATAATGCAGTTTCTCTCCCGGTCCGATTGAATCGGCGACAGGCCCGACTACTGATATATTATCATCGTCGCAGCAACTGTCTAGCCATGCTGCTACTTCACGGGTGCGCCAGCTTCCCGCAGCGAAGCAGTTTTCCTTCGTCACCTGTTGGTAATCAAATGGGGCCCCTTCGTATGAAATCAGATATAGCAGGGGTTTCCTTGTATGATTTTTTGAATCCTGCGCACATACCTTTAAAGTTGCACTGCCGCTAAGGCGTTTTTGATAGTAGCTCATGAGGCACTCTGTAGGATGGATCCGGAAGCGGTTGCTGTTAACTAGTGGCACAGTTTCTTTCTATCTCCTGTGGGGTCAATATATCCCGAACATTGGAAGAACTACATGCAATAGAATGATTCCTAGTATTCTTAAAATGAATCTAAAACAAGAATTACTCATAAATGCTTGTTGTTTGCTCCATTGGTTTCTTGTTCCTTCAGCAAATGGCAGGACGGAGAAAATGTTGCTCTTGAGGTTGAGGATTCTTCTTTCTGCCTCTGCACTGGAAAAAGATTTCTCTACTGTCTTGTTGCTGGTGTCTCCTCTGCTTGACATGCAAGCAGCTGGAATCACCCGTGTTTCTGTTACCTTTTTGGCCTTCAGTGCAGCTTCAAGGGTGCCGGGTGCTCCGGTTTTGCCCTTATGTTTACTAGGCGTTTACTGGAGTTGGGAGAATGAAGCGATAGCTGTTCACCCAACTCTAGTAAAGAAAGCCCCCACTTCGTATATGAAAGCGAGTATATATGTTCCGTCGGTTTGCCAAACTGTAATAGGGGTGGGCTGTACACAAACCCTTGTGCAATCGGTTTCCCTTTCCTTGCATTCCTCACTTGGGTAATCGTAAAGTTGAGCAAACGCGGTTCTTGTGGCCCCCGAAATCCGCCAACTTGTCAGCGTACAATTACCTCGCAAAACCACATATTAACAAGCTTCTCTATTTATTTGTGTTGCCCTTACACTACGTTAGCATCGGAATATGAACAGCACCTAAAGCTTTATCTGAGGCCTCCGTAGGGAGACGCTTAATTCAGATTCAACACGAGAACAGTGGAAAGTTATGAAATGTTCCCCCAATCGAGCTCCGCCCTCCTTCCTGTGCCTGCAACTCTGAGGGCTCCCACGAGGAATGAAACAGTTGAGCTGCGCGTTTCTGCACTTTCTGAGCACTCTGAACGTTCCTAGCTAGTTTTACAGTAGGTTTAGCACCCACGGGAGTGCGTTTTCTTGTGAGCAGCTAATACTACGCTGCTCAAGCAAGAGGAGCGCAAAGTGTAGCTCACCCCGGATTATCATTCGATCTATGATGTAGAGAATGGAGTGGGTGCATCAACAAGGAGAAGCAGAGGCTTCATGAGGGACACTCAACAACGCAATGTAAGAAGGCCGTTTGAGCCCGCACTGCACCATTGTATTGGCTTTGGAGTGGTTTTATGCTGAGATTTCGATTGAACTTTCCGCCGAGAAGCAGAAGAATTGAGGAAATAGCTCGGGGGGGTTCGAGGATGTACTAAATAAGAATGAACTGCCAGCATGCTGGCCACCTGGTGGCCGTCCAGAACACCGCATTGAGCTAGTCTCCTGATAAGCCCCAGGATATATTTTGTGGCACCAAAAATCTCCATAGCATGAAAAGAAGATAGAGAGTCAGGCGGAAGAATTTTCGAAAAGGCCTCAATGCAGGAATCTACAAGCGTTTTTGGGTATGACACAGAGTTGATGTTAAAAGCGATAGGACGAAGGTGGCTCAGCTTCGCTAACTTTGAGCTCTGGGAAACGATTGCTGTAAAATTGAAGTTTCCGATACCTGAAATTTGCGAATTACTTGAAAATTACACGAGTCAGCATTCTACCCGACATTTGACTTCAGAGACCTTTTCTCAAAATCCCCACTCACCCCATGACCCATGCAAAATGGCGTCCCATACTTGCGTTCGCAAATACAGAATTTTCATATGCCCCTTGCGCTTTTGATTGCCCCCGATGAACTGCCGCTGCAAATTAATCGGGACTTTTATATGCCTATCTAAAGGGGCTGAGTGTCAGTTGACATGGAAACAGCCTTAGTATTTGGCCGAAACTTGCAAAAGCCTATAATAAATATAGCATGCAGTTCTGCTGCTGCGGGACACCTTGGTGTGTGCGAAACTGTGCAAGTATTTGTGTTCACGAAACCCACTGCGTCGGAAATTCCGCATTTTATTTGCAGGAACTGACCAGATCTGGCGAAAACGAAATAATCAAGGCGTCGCCTTTTTACTTTTGTGAACCTGCATGGTCATTGCGAAGGTGTGTGGAGTTGCATCTTATTACCGAAATCTCAGACCTGGGTGCTCTTGGTTGCTGTTTCTTTATTCTTTCATTGGTCTACTTAAGAATACGCACTCTATGGCACAGACAGACAAGACTGATGCCGAAGGGGGAAAGGCCCGCCTTGCAACTCCTCGGGTACTCGCGAATACCGCTTATAATAGTTGTGTCCCTTTAGCAACCGTTGATTGTGACTGGCGATGGGTGCTATGCTCTCCCAACTGATTAAGGCTTCTCCTCATCACTAAATTATTGCTTGTTATACTCACTTCACCGAAAGTGAACAGCAGTATCCATAATGGGGAAATGCACTATCTGTGGTGTGGTGAAGCGTGATAAAAACTGACACTACTTATCTGAGTGTCCGATTGCTGTCCAGATCTATTATCGGTCTCTAAAATGCCTCCAAATGGTATTCTCGACTGTTCTTTCCGTAGAGCTGCTCGCTGGCTTGGACGCCTTATGCAAGAAGGACTTTACAGCGAAGTAGAGCAAGAGTATCGCCAGCTCGGTCGCTGACGCGCACTCCTGATGCCCCAGCAGCTCTCCACTCTGCAGCATAGCCGATCTTGTTTGTAATAGCTCACAGTCTCTATCATGGTTGCATTTTTACGCTTTTGAGACTCGTGCTTCCGTTATCATTGTCGAAATTCAGAATGGCAGGGAGGGAATCAGTAACACGTTGAGAATGGCTTGCAGTGGCGCACGACAAAGCGGAGGCTCCGTTTTTTGTATGTTCCAACTTCCTTCCTAGTGCCGTTTTGCCCGAAACACATGATCATGTTATTTCTCACCAGGGCTGGATTCAGAGTGAAGTGGAAAAGCTCCCAAGGCCCCTCTGGCTGCCTGAGATTCTTCTTACAGCAGAGGAGTATCCCCTGTCGTGCCCAGACCATCACCTCTAAAGAATCAATGTTCATGTATCCGGTCGTTCGAAATTCCTCACAGTTTCTGAAGAAATCTTGGTTGGTGTAACTACGGAGTTTATTGTTGGACAGCCAGTATTCAATGATCAGGATACCATATATGTCATTGCTCGCAAACAAAGCAAGTGTGCCCATTTCATTGCTCGCTGCAGCTCTGTCTAGGCCTCGAAAGCCACCCAACTATTCTTACCTCATGCATGAAGGCTCCACAGATTCATCACCAGCGTCATCTCGAATGGGGAATCCAAAGTTCGTTAGAGCGTTCTAATGCGCCTTTACAACCGGCCTGCCTTTGGTAATAATACATCTAGTGCGGATCACTTTGAGAGCAGTTGGACATGCAGAGCATACCAGCCACACTCGTCTGCAGTGTATGTGACTCTAGGCCCACAATCATCCTATTGCTCGACTTGGATTTCTTCCTTGCGCTAAAGGGGTTCATAATACAACAGTGCACCTGTCTAACCGCTGCTCTACAGCATCGCTGGTCGACATTGAAGAGCGCGTCCAACATCTGGCCGTGGTCCTGGTGGACCAAGGTCAGCAGCCACCGG